AGGTCGAAACAAATGAGGGCCTAAAAATAGTCCAGGGCCTAAGAATAGCCCTCCGTTTCAGGCTGGAAAAACTCTGGGTCTGAAAGACCCAGAAATAGGCTGAAACAGAGTAGGGCCTGCAGGCCCTCGTTTTTCAGTTTTCAGGCTGAAACGACCGGGGCCTGTAGATCCTAAGTTTTAGGCTTTTAGGCTGAATGTCCGGGACGGGTCCTACAGGGCCCGTGTGGCTACGCAGTATGACACCCCCCCCCCTCCTTGAAAGACCGAGCTTACCTGCGAGGGCGAAGCTGTCTGTCTGAGGGAGGGACCACAGTCCGGGTGGGAGGGGAAGGTCGTGGAGGTCCCTTGGCTAACCTTTGACGTTCATAGTGAGCGTAGATCAGCGGTGCGGATGCTTTCAAATCTGCTCCTGAAATCCACCGAGTGTCGTCGCGATCGCATGCTTTGAATGTGACTTTGTACTGCCGCAGCTTGCTGCCGTACTTGCGATTGGTGATGACGCGGTCAACTTCCTGATGGCCGTCCATAGAAGGAGGGCGATCGTCGGCCCGGAAAGTCGTCGCTCTTGGCTGGCGTGTATGTTGCCAGCTTTGAGGCGTGGAAGACCGGATGGACCGTCAGATGCTCTGGAATGTTGATCACAAATGAAGGGCCATCGGGCTCATCGCCCGCGGCTGCTGTCACAGACCAAGGTCCAAACCACTTGGGAAGCAGTTTGCGTGAAACRTCCTGTTCCAGTGCAAACTCTTCCGCGGAGACCCAAACCAGATCACCGGCGCGGATGGAACATGGTACGCGACGCCCGTTGGCTTGCTGCTGCCTGCGAACTTGAGCCTTTTGCATATTTGTGCGGGCTTGAGTCAGCAAGTCCCTGTACTTCCGAGCGGAAGCGGGGGAGCAAGCGGCGTCAATGTCGGCTGGTCGAGGGAGGAGAAGGTCAGCGAAGCTGGGGCCTTTCCGTCCACCGTGGTGCAACTCGAATGGAGTCACGCCGATCGCCGGGTGCACCGAACTGTTATAGGCGAACTCGATGTCGGGGAGGCGGTCAACCTAATCTTTCTGGTCCGGACGAATGACCGTACGAAGCATCATTTGAGCAGTTTGATGTGCCCGCTCCGTCTGCCCGTCTATCTGAGGATGTCGAGCTGAACTTGGTTTCATTGTTGTGCCGGACTCCTGCATGAGAGTAGTCCAAAACGCCGACATGAAACGAGTGTCGCGGTCGCTGACAATGTCTTCTGGTACACCGTGGCCACAAATCCAACCAGTGTGCAGGAGGCGTGGCAGCTCGGGAGCCGTGGAGTAGTACTTGCAAGGGAGAAAACACGCGTACTTACTCAATCGGTCCACAACCGTGAGGATGCCGTCGTGCCCGAGCCGGTCGCGAGGAAACGGACCGGTGACGTCCATGGCAATGGAGAGACCTGGTTCCCGTGGGATAGGCATCGGGTGTAACTCACCGTAGGGATCGCGGTTGCGGGGCTTGCTGCGTCGGCAAACTTCGCAAGAGTCGCAATACCGAGTGACATCGGTAATGAGGTCGGGCCATCGGAATCGCTGTCGAAGCCGTGCAATAGTGCGGTTGACCCTGAAATGGCCGACGAGTCGTGAATCATGATACTCGCCGAGGCGGCGAGTCCGAAGGCGACGGTCGCGTGGGACACATAGTAAGTCCTTGCCTCTCGAGTGGAGGAGCAAGTACCCGTCGGCAATGCGGTAATGGCTGGCCGGCGGGTGATCCGAAGATAGCTGTGCATAGAGCGTGCCGAAGTCCGGATCAGACT